GCTGTCTACTTATTGTCTTCTAAGAAATCTCTATGTAATGTGAATCTAAACCCATATTCAGATATATAATATGCAGATATTTTCTTACATTCTAAATGCAAGGATTCATCTCATTCTTCCTGATGAAGTTTAAAACACAAAAGTTTAATACTAATCAATTGTACTTTCAATAATCAAAATTCCCAATACTGCAACAGAAATGATGCTATACAATTTTCAGTGCTTAGCATTTCTAACATGGTCAACATTCTGTTTCTTGGTACATTTCAGGTATACCGTACAGTTACATTCATCATTGGAATCTTGCACCTTTACATGACAGGTCTTGATTATAATTTTTCCCCCATACCCCTGCCCTCCCTTCACCTCCTCCACCCTCGCCAATTTACAAAGACTTTGTTTCCAGTTTTTCATATTCTCCTTTTCTTTCCCTTATTTCATTTCCCCTACCCTTCCCCCTTATCCTATACTTTTAGCCCTTTTATTCCTATTTCACAGCATCAGTTATACCATTTAAATCTTATTTACACTTTTAGTGTTTCACACCAGAGAAACTATTTGGTATTTATGCATGTGTGACTAATTTATTTCACTTAAGACTATGACCTCAATAAGCATCTATTTTCCTATGAATGACTATTTTCTCTTTCTTTATGGCTGAGTAGTACTCCATTATATAGAAATACCAAATCTTTATCCAGTCTCCAATTGATGGGCAATTGGGCTGTTTCCAAGTTTTAACTATTACAAACTGTGCCTTTATAAACATGGGTGAGCATATATCACTGTGGTATGAGTCTTTTAATTCTTTTAGAAGGATACCTAGAAGAGGGATAGCTGGGTCAAATGGAACTTCTAATCTTAGTCCTTTGAGGTACCTCCATATTGACTTCCAAAGTGGTTGCACCAGTGTGCATTCCCCCCAACAATAGAGAAGGGTTCCTTTCTCACCACAGCCCTGCCAACAATTGTTATTGGTTGATTTCTTGATAGCACCCATTCTTTGTGGGGTGAGGTGGAATCTCAGTGTTGTTTTCATCTGCATCTCCTGAATGACCAGTGATGTGGAACATTTTTTCATATATTTATTTGTTGCTTTCACTTCTTTGTTTGAGAAATGTCTGTTCATTTCAGTAGCCATTTTTGAATTGGGTCTTTAGATTGAGGGGGCTGATTTTTTTGAGTTACTTATATATTTTAGATAAGAGTCCTTTGTCTGAAGAGCAGCTGTTAAAATTTTTCCCCACACTGTAGGTTGTCTCTTAGCTCTTCTGATGGTTTATTTTGCAGTGCAGAAGCTTTTTAATAAGATGAGATCCCAGTTGTTGATTGTTTCTGCTAGTTCCCATGCTACTGAGGATTTATTCATAAAATCTTTTCCTATGCCAGTGTCTTCAGGGGTTCTGCCGAACATATCTTCCAGAAAATTTAGCACCTTTTAAAACAAATATTTAGATCTTTAATCCACTTTGATTTTAGTTTAGTGCATGGTGAAACATAAGGGTCTAGTTTTAATCTTTGGCAGGTTGAAATACAGTTTTTGTAACACCATTTAGTAAAGAGGCTATCTTTCCTTCAGATGAGGTATCTGAGTGCATCTGCAGTTGTTTCTGTATCTTCCAATCTATTCTACTGATCCTCAGGTCTATTTCTTTGCCAGTACCATGCTTTTTTTTATCACCATGGCTTTGTAGTATAATTTCAAATTGCAAATTGTTATACCCACTGCCATGTGTCTGTTGTCTTGGATGGCTTTTTCTATTCTAGTTCTCTTCTGCTTCCAAATGAATTTTTGGATTCTTTTTTCTAGTTCTGTGAAACATAGTGTTGGAAATTCAATCTGCATTGCATTGAATCTGTATAGCAGTTTTTTGGTAGTATGGCCATTTTCACTATGTTGATTCTTCCTACCCAGGATCAGGGGATATCTTTCCATTTTCTTATATCCTCTTCAATCTATTTTTTCAATCCTCTTCAATCTATTTTTTCAGAGTGCTGTATATTGTCAGCATTCTGTGTAATGATCATATTTTTGTGCAAAAAGGATAAATTACAGGAAGATTTCAATGATTTATTAGCAGAAAGAGATAATAACAAAATTGAATGGCAAGTGTAGTTCAGAAGTTGTCAAGAAAGAGTAAAAAAAGAAGATATCTCTGGTAGGAAAAATAGAGGAGGAAATGTGGAATAATATGAAACAGTTAAATTTATTTCAATAACATGAATTATAAGCAGACTAAATCATTAAAGGTCAAAAAGTGTTAGCCTGGATGTTTAAACCTCACTAAAATTAAAACCCAGTATATATTGTGTTTATAAAACATGTTTAATGTAATTTTACAACGGAATATGAGTAAAAGGGTTAGCAGAGTTAAGTCATAATAATGTAATTGTTATATATTTATCAACATCAAACATAACATGACAAAATTATAAATAAATATAAAAATGAATAATTCAAAACACTAATTAGTGAGTAATGCAGTCTTAATTCAATTTTAATTTTATGTGCCTGCAAACAAATAATTCCAAATAAAAAATAAAGAAAAATATAAATATGTACCTATGTTCACAATAGGGAACATTTAAGTACTTTTATCAATAAACATAAAAATACAAAAAAAAAAACTGAGATGTTCCATTTGACTTAGCTATTCCTCTTCTTGGTATCTTCCCAAAACAAAACCATCATGCTATGGTGATATTTATACACCTATGTTTATAGTGACACAGTTTGTAATAGTTAAATCTTGGAAATAGCCTCTGCCCATCAATTGGTGAATGGATAAAGATGCAAAATTTTAATGGAGTACTACTTAGCCTCAAAAAGATGAATTACAGACATTTATAGCTAAAAGGATGTAACTTGATGCTATAAGTGAAATAAGTAGGTCACAGTATGTAAATATAAAATTGTTTCTCTGGTAAGAGAAATTGAAACTTTAAATGAGGAACAAAATATATAATAGATATTATGAAAAAGGAAGAAAATGTTCAAAGGGGAAGGGAACTAGGAAAGGGGTGGGGGAAAGGAAAGAAGCAAGAAAATGAGAAAAGAAGGCAAAAATAGAAAAAAATATTTCGTTAAGAGGGAGGGACGGGGAGATTGAAAGGAAGAAAAGGGGGATGAGAAAAATAAAAACCAAGATACATCACATACAGGTACAAATTCCCAATGATGAATGTACTCATAATATACCCATAAATTGTACCAATAGACAATTTTAAAAGAACATGAAGAAAACAGACAAGAATATATCACACATGAAACATGTGATGAAAAAATGGAAAGTAAGTGAAATAAATGTCTGTGCCATAAAATTTACAAATAACTTTGAGAAGATTCAATTTATAAAAATTGTTTAGATATACTGAATTTAAGGTAGAAAAAAATTATAAAAATACTTTTAAAAACTCCCAAGTTTTGATAATTAATCAATATACTTATAAATAACAAAAATTGAACAGATAAATTATAACACCTTATGAATTTTCATCACAGCAATTTTATTCTTAAGTATATAAAACACAGAAATACATGAATCAATAAACTAATATATAGATAAGATGATGTACATGACATTATATAAATAGTAAACAACTGTTAATAATCCAAAATTTCAAAGATCATTTTCTTGGATGTGAAAAACTAAAAGTGTAAATAAGATACAAATGGTATAATAGACAATGTGAAATAGGAAGAAAAGGACTCAAGTTGTAGGGGAAATGGGAAGGGTAGGGTAAAGGAAATAAGGTAAAAGAAAAAAAAAGGAGAAAATGAAAAACTGGAAACAAAGTCTTTGCAAATAGGAGAGGGTGAGCAGGTGAAGGGAGGGCAGGGGTATGGGGGGAAAATGAGAACCAAGCCCTGTCATGTAAAGGTACAAGATCCCAATGATTAATGTAACTGTACTGTATACCTAAAATGTAACAAGAAACTCAATGAGAAAAAAAAATACAATGAAGAGGGATTCTGTGGAAATTACACACAGTGAGTTTAGTAACTGCCACACATATACACAAAGGAGCAAAGGCATATATTCACATATGTACACAAGGATAAAACACATAGTGTTAGTCTTGAGATCAGTTCTTCATTTGGGGAAAGAATTGATGCTACACTAATACACAAAGGTTAATGCTTTTAGGTAAGTGTATTCAAAGTAGTTTGAAGGGACAGCTCAGTGGTGCCACTGCTTGCCTGCCAAGCACAAGGCCTTAAGTTCCATCCCAGACAGCCCCAAAAGATGATTTTATTGTAGGCATATTGACATCTTTTATTCACAAGAATAACAAACCCAATTATATAATAACCAATTATTTATTAATGATATGTGCATTATATTAAATAGCTCATATTTAACATTGTGTTAAGGTCAGTGGAGGTAAATTTGGTAATGAAAGCAAACGCATACCACTTCAAAAAAATGTTGTATTAAAACATAATGAACTTTAAGATTCTATAGAAAGAGTGCTAAATGAACATAGAACAATGAAGAGAATGTAAACGGATGAAAAGCACTCCTGGTTATGACTCTTTGTGGCCAAGTGGGCCAAAGAAGAGATCAACATGTTTTTCTAAACATATGTGGAAGACAAAAATTTTGAGCAGTGTACTATCCTAATCTGATGTAATTTTGGAAAGAAAAGAAAACACTGAGTACTAGGTGAAAGTTAGAGAGAAGTGGGTAAAAGAATGAAAATAGACTACTTAGTAAGTATTTGACCCACCATTACATAATTCCTCTTCAAAAATTTCAAGATGACTGTTTCAAATAGATTTTAACTATCTCACTAACAACATATAGATTTTAAATGCCTACAAGAAAACTCCAGCATAAAAACCAAACTTTCTAAGGTGATATATCTCATAGTAAAACACTTGTACTGCTTTTTTTCCCATGTATTTTGGCACACCTTTACTAAAGATTCTAAAAACCTTTCACAGAATTGGGGAAATCAATGGACTGTAAATTTTGGTCTTTCTGTTTCCCCTGTAGCTACAAAGAGAATGCCATGAGGTTATCAAGAATTCACCATGACCAGCCAGTGAAGCCCCTGGACCGAGCAGTCTTCTGGATCGAGTTTGTCATGCGCCACGGAGGAGCCAAGCACCTTCGGGTTGCAGCCCACGACCTGTCCTGGTTCCAGTACCACTCTTTAGATGTGATTGGGTTCCTGCTGGCCTGTGTGGCCACTGTGATTTTCATCATCACTAAATGCTGTCTGTTTTGTTACCAAAAGTTGGCAAAGACTGGAAAGAAGAAAAAAAGGGAGTAGTTTTATAGGTGCCTGAAGTTGGCAGTACTGATAGGTGGGAATTATATACTTGAAATTTCCCCAGTTTATTCCAATAAGGAGAGGTTGTGATGACAAATTCCTCCCTCCTGTGCTACACTAATTTCACAATTTACATAACAGAGTCTAAGTGTGATTTTCAAGATATTTAATAACTGGTAAAGACGTAGAAAATCAAAGATATGATTAAAGGATAGTTGGAGAAAAGTTAAAATATGATTTATACCCTACACTAAAATAAATAATTTAGTTGGTTCATGAGTTATTCATAGGCATAACATTAAAAGGTTCACATATAGTAATGATATGATTTTGCAAATACCTAACATATTATGGTTTCAGCATTTTCTGGAGAAAATATTCATCAATTGAGATTTTTGTGAAATATAAGCATGATTCCTTTTGGTTTTGGAACACCAGTAGTGCTTCTTGACTGTTTGTGTTAGATCCACATCAACATCTCTTCTTTTTCCAAAGAGCAAACATTTTTCTTCTTCTTGCTATAGACAATCCTGAGGAGAATATACATAGAATGAGAAATGTAATATTTACTAAATGCTTGTTGCTATAATATTGATCTTATTGGGAAAGTTTTTGATTTCACATTGTAATTTTACTATTTTCTTAGACCTCTAGAAACTGACCTTCTTCACCTTACCATTTGTAGTATTTGAGAATTATATGTAAGGTCTCAATTATAGATTGTAATAATATAGAACTGGAAATCTAATAACACTTCTTTTATTTTCATTTTTTCCAAATGTATAGAACATATGTGAGTCTCATTTTTCAGAACAAGACTCAGCATCACTAAATTATCCTGCAGACATTTTGAGAAACTAAATAGGTCTGGTAGACAATTTGAAATAATTCTTATTTAGAATATATGTCTCATTTTCTCTTTTCTTCAGCACTCTTTTGTCCCATTCCTCCCTCCTTAACACTTACATGGAAAAATTCAAAATTTTAACCTAATGGAAAGTGACATAATTGTCACTATCCCTTAAACCTAAGCCCTCTTACAATTACTATACTACAATCAAAATAATATAAAAGGATACAAATTGTAAGGAAAATAGATAAATTGAACTACAAAAAGAATGAAGGCCCTCCTTGAAGCTGCATATGGTGGATAAATTTTACGCTAAAATTAATCAAACCAGCTGGCTTTATTGGTTACAAACAAACATGTAAGTCTCATGGCACTACTATTCTCCCATCACTCTCATTAATCTTTTAAAATAATTTAATATAGTTAGAAGAATTATAGGAGAGTATACAACATAATTATTTTATGCCATTCATCTAACAATTTACACATTTAAAAGAAAAATACAATCAATGAAATGCTTGTAGTTAATAATATAAAATCTTGCACATAATGTGGAATTCATGTTTGTCAAACATGTCATGCAATACATGTAAGAACAAAGGATTTATATACACTGTGTACTAAATCAATGACCAAAAATGCAGAGTGCAATATGCAGAAAGACAGATGAAAGACATGAACAGATAATTCACAGAAGTGAAAAAGGCACAGTAATACATACAAGATGACAAAAGTCAATGATGTTTTAAAAATAGAAATCAACTCAATAAGTGATTTCCCAAATAAATTTATAACCTTTGAAACTTTGAGAAAATTATGACTGTGTAAGTATAAGGTAGCATCATCTGTCAAGTAAAACTGCCACAACTATTTGACCCTACAATAAAAGTTTGAGGAATCCAGGATGCAAAAATACTTCTACACATATGCATTTTTTTAGATTTCAAATGACTATCAGCCAATGAATATACCCTTATTTATAGTTATACAGTTAGCCAATGATGGTAGCATGTTCCTGTAATTCTAGCCACATGGGGTCTGAGGCTGAAGATCCCTTCAGTCTAGAAATTTGAGACCAGACTGGATGGCACAGGGAGTCATGACTGAATGAATAGTGAAGCGAAATTATTTACGATATGCAGCCATTACAGAAAGTGGGTAGACTCTCCATGTTATACTGCTGAAGACAAAGCAAATTCTAGAAAATACTTTTTAAATTCTTTTAAGAATTTAAATTATTTTAATAATTATTCTTTGAAATAAATAAAACATATGTCAATTTAACACAAATACAGAGAAAGTCTGGATGAATGCACATAATTTCAAGATTAAAAAAACTTAATGTTTAGTAGTTCTGCAGTGTTTGTTCTTTCAAAATAATATTTCATGAATTAAGAGCCTTAAATTAGTAAAATTAACATTTATTTCCAATAGTGAGCTCTAATATTTGGTATCATTTCATAAATTTATTAGTGCTGTAGGAATACTTGACTGGACAAGGAATCTGACATGCTATCCATTTGCATTTGTTTCTTGGAAACCCATTTCATGTTTAAACTATCCATGTTTTATAGATGTTTAAATATGTGACCACATATATGGAGATAGAGCTTCCTAAATATATTTCCATATAAGAATTTTAGTAGATGGAAAATATCTTAACTGTCACAAATTTGTTCTTTTTTTTTTTTTTGTACCAGGGGTTGAACTCGGGTCCTTGCTCTTGCAAGGCAGGCCACCGAACCGCTGAGCTAAATTCCTGGCACAAATTTCTTCTATTTTAATGCCTACTTTTGGCCAATTTTGCAGTAGTGCTTTTGTAAAGGACTTTTAGCATAGCATGTTGGTTCTCACTGTTTTTAATCTGGGTCCTGTAACTGAATGGAATGATATGGGGTTGGGCAAGTTCCTTCACCTGTCTGGGCCTCAACTCCCACTCCAGTGAAAGGGAAGTCGAGTATTCTATCTATTTTGTGGACATGAAAAATGAATGTATTAACACAGAGAACTCAGTAGAATTGCAACATATTAAAAAGTTCAATTTGCGATAATTAATATAGGTACTTAATACATAAAAGCTTTTCTATAATTATGTTAATCTTCATATAAATTACAAAATATATTTTTAAATATAGTGTTTCAGGTAGGAATAAAAAAAAATAGCATGAGCTATTTCAAATGTTTAGGAATTATATTTTTGTGCGAAACCACACTGACTAATAAGGGTCTCTAAACCAAACCTGGCCATTCTTTTTTAATTGACATAAAATTTCCATAATGTTGGCCAACCTTGGCAGTGCATGAATATAATAGCAGAACTCAAGAGGGTAAGTCAAGAGGATCACCATGAGGTAAGACCTTCACATCCTAAGAAGATATCTTCATCCCAAAATGATTATAGCTTATATCTAATTAAAGAGATTATCAATACTGTATTGAAGCAATCTGAAGATTACTGGAATGTATCAAGATACTCATGACATTCTTCACAGAAATAAAAATGAAATAAATATCATATGGACCCACAAAGCTACCATAATCAAAGTAATCCTGAGCATAAGACAATATCTGACTCCAATGTAAACTACATTACAATACCAATTAAAAATGGTATGCTACTAGGCTGGGGATTTGGCTCAGTGGTTCTGCTTTCTGCAAAGTCCCTAGTTTGGATCCTGGTAGCTCCCAAAAATAATGGCTTGCCACTGGCATGAAATCTGACCAGCAGATGAAAGGAAACAAATTGAAAAATCCAGAAGCTAAACCAAGTATAGAGCAATATTAATGGACATGAAAAACCAAATACACACCAATGCAATTGTTTCACTACCCCACTGTCACAAATGGAGAGAGCATCTTGACAAAATAAAAAAAGAGAAATAATGCAATACTAGAAATGAACCAAACTTGTGAACAAATGGATTTCATAGATGTCTACAGAGTGTCCCACCCCACAAAATAAGAATATACATTCTTTTTGGATGCACATGGATCATTCTCTAAAATAGGCCATATACTAGCTCATAGAATATATTTAAGTAAATGTAAAGGAATTGAAATTATCCCATTTATATTATCAGACCACAGGTCATTAAACTGGAGATCAGTAGCAAAAGAAACCACAAGAAGTTGAGAAACACATGGAAATTGAATAATATTCTTCTGTAAAACCAATGGGTCATAGAGGAAATTAAAGAAGAAATTAGTTTTTACAAATAAAGGATAATTCCAATACAACATACAGGAATCTATGGGAAACAATGAAAACAGTTCTATGAGGGAAATTTGTAGTAGTGAATGTCCACTGAAACAGAGAGAGCTCAACTAAGCAAGCTAATGCTGAATCTCAAGCTCCCAGAAAAAGAAGAACAATACACACCCAAAGCTCACACAAGGGAGGAAATTATAAAGACAAGAGCAGAAATCAATGCAATGGAGGCTAAGAGAATGATATGAATAAAATCAATGAATAAATAAAAAGGATAAAACCTTAGCCAATCTTATCAAAAAGGCTCATATTCATGCCACTAGGACCAAAAAGAGAAATTACAACACATCCAGTAGAAATCCAGTGGATCATCACTACCTACTTTGAAAGCTTGTACTGTAATAAAATAGAAAATACATAAAAAATGGACACATTTCTCTATGAATTACCAAAGTTGAACATAGATAAAAATTTATAAACAGAACAATTATAATCAGTGAAATTGAAAATGTAATTAAAACATTACCAACAAAGGTAATGATGGATTCATGCTGAATTCTACAAGACATTTAGAGAAGAACTATTGCCATTACCCTTTAAACTTTTCAGTAAAATTGAAAGGGATGCAATACTTCCAAATTCATTCATCTAAGCAAGTGCTATTTTGATTCCCAAAGCAGGGAATACCCAACCAAAAAAGAGAACTACAGATCAATCTCCCAAATGAACATAGATGAAAAACTCCTCAATAAGTTACTGGCAAACAGAATACAGAATCATCAAGATCATACACCTTGACCAAGTTGGATTTATCCCAGGGATGCAAGGATGATTCAATATGCATAAATCAATAAATGTAATACACTGTGTTAACAGAGTGAAGGACAAAATCCATATGATCCATATGATCATTTCCACACATGCATGAAAAGCATTCAACAAAATTTAACACCCATTCATGATAAAAACCTTACAGAAAATTAGAATAGATGGTCTCTATCTCAACTTGATGAAGGCTATCTATGAAAAACCAATAGTCAACCTCATACTGAATGGTCAAAACTTGAAAACCTTCACACTAAATTCAGGAACAAGACAAGGATGTCCACTGTAAGTGCTCCTGTTCAATATAGTTCTGGAAACATTAGTCACAGTAATAAGACAAGAGAAAGAAATAATGATTCAAAAGGAAGAATTTAAACTGTCATTATTTGCAGAATATGTTATACTCTAAATAGAACCCAGAAAATTCATCCAAAAGACTTTTAGACTTACTTGACAGGTTCAGTAGAGTAGCTGGATATGAGGTAAACACTCAAAAATCAACAGCCTTTTTCTATAGGAGACTCACTGAGAGTGAAAGTAGGTAAACAATACCTTTTGCAATAGTAACCAAAAAATGAAATATCTATGAATCAATTTAACAAAGGAAACAAAAAACTCTACATTGAGCACAGCACTGTGAATAAAGAGATGGAAGAGTATATAAGAAAATGGAAGGCCATCCCTCATTCCTGGGTAGGAAGAACCAGCATAGCAAAAATGGATATACTTCCAAAATTGCTATACAGATTTAATGCAACCCCTATTGAAATGCCAACAGTATATTTCACAGAAATAGAGAAACAATCCAAAAATTCATTTGGAACCATAAGAAACCTAGAATAGCAAAAGCCATCCTAGGCAACAGAGACATGGCAGTGGTTCCAATTGTAAACTATACTACAAAACCACTGTGATAAAAACAGCATGGTAATGGCAAAGAAACAGACCTGAAGAACAGTGGAATAGACTAGAAGATGCAGAAATAATATCAGACATAATTAGTTACCTGATCTTTGACAAAGGAGCCTACCATCCTCACTGAAGGAAAGAGAGCCTCTTTAATAAACAGCATTGCAAAAACTGGCTTTTAACTTGCCAAACATTAAAAATAGATCCCTTTCACCATGCACTAAACTAAAATTGAAGTGGATTGAAGATCTGAATATCAAAAAACAGAAACACTAAAATCACTGGAAAGTAAATTAGATAGAAATCTGGAAGACA